ACTGCATGTAGAATAAAAAGTTGTTCGATTAAAACTGACAGACAACAAATAAAACAGTACTATGCCACTCAAATTAATGATGTACGTCCTACCACGTGATCTTTGCACATGCTCGATAGAAAGTCGTTCGTTTGCTCACAGTGGTTTCTCCTCAGCTCCGAAACCACTGCCAGCAGGGTAGACGTATTTTAATGTGGATACGGAATACATATTCTTCATATTTTAATTTAACAACAAACATTTACATTTTAATGGATGATGAAAGTGACCACTGGGAACTGTCTGCAGTTTAAGATTCTAGATTCTTATAATTTTAATATATTATTTGTTATGAATATCATCTTAATTAATGGATGAAAGTTCATGAGAAGGGCAGAAGGCTGTTGTGTATTGGAACATATTGCTTAGATTTTTTACTACATTGTAAGAAATCACTACACTCGTAGACTTTTTAATCCACATACTGTAGTTGTTAAATGAGTTGCATTCATATATAACTGGAGTGGTATTTTCAGAAGTAGCTAATACACTAGATGAAATCAATTATAACATTCGCATAGAGGATTCGTCTTAATATCTGCTAGACTGCTGTCTTTGACCATAATATCAAGCTGCTGGAGTGCCGCCTGTACCGGTATATTAGAAAATTGTGTTACTTGCCTGTTGCAAACATCACTAGTTCACTACCTAGTGCATTATTCAATTATGTAATTTTTTCTCATTTTCTTCCTTTCTCATTTTCTTCCTTTATTTCTCTTTACTTTTTTTTCTTTTGAGACTTTTAAGTTTTACCCTCCATTTTTTTCTGCCAACCTCAAAAATTTTCTGGGACCAATGGTCCCGTGGTCCGCTATATTATGCAGCCCTGCTGTTGCAACTTGTGGGCTTGTTCATCTGACAATTGAGTTACTATTGCAAGTACCGTTACATCATCTGTATCAATGTCAATGTTTTGAATATTGTCATGATCAATTCCATATGCATTCCAGTTGATGTTATCCTGTGTTAAACTTTGAATGGCAGAACTATCTGATTGAATAACAGATCGCAAACCTGAATACCACTGTTGCAACGGGCAACGGTTATTGGCTGCTCTCATTGGATGATTATTCCAACTACCAATCATTTCTTGCAAAGAGAGGTTTATGCAAGGCAAAAAGATGTAGTGGAGTGTGAATAGGCCAAATTCATCTAAAGTCCACATTGCTCAAGGTAGTAAAAGATGTTACAGTAATAACACACTACATTGTTCTTAACTTCCAACCACAACCATTTTATTCTCTGATTATGAACGCTGGCGCCCATAATCATGCTTCCTCGGTTTGGTCCCCTATCTGGGTGTTCTAGCATAAACATTGCAACACCAGTATTTTCAGTACCAAAGTCTGACCTCACTCGTGATGGCAATCCATATGTGTCAATGGCTTATTGAAACAGTGCAGTAACTGTTGCTGCCCTGTTATCACTGCACTTTAAATAAACAATGCACCTACTGAAGCCATCAATTTCCCCCATGAATAACAAATCTCCATCTTATTAATTTGTGATGCCCATCAATATGCCTGCACAGTTAAAAAAACGGCATTAGGAAGATAATGTAGTTTCAATATGTGGAACTTCAGTCACCAACCACCTATGTTCAATTTCGCCTCAGGTGACAGGTGGGTGGAGTGTAGAAGCAAATTTAACAAGTACACAATACAATACTTACCATAGAGCATTTGGAGAAAATACATTGTATATGCGTCGTACAATTGCTCTAGTTCTCCTCAATGAGCGACTGATGGGATCAACAGTTTGAATAGCAGCACGAACATGCCATCTTTGAACACGAAGATCTCTTGCTCTTAGTGCGCCAATTATGTAGGTTTCTCCAGCATTTGGAACAACTTGCAGGACTTCACACAGGGGCGGATCCAGGGGGTATCGAGTGTAGCTCAAGATACGGTCAGATTTTTCCGATTATGCATACTAAAATAGTTTTGGGGAAAAATTCAATATTAATTAATATATTTTCACGCAATTCATTTCTGTTTACAAAAACAGTGAAAATTTGAGTTTACTAAGATGAACGAGGGGCAAATTCTTTCGTAAATTTTAAAATTCACAGCTCTAAATGTAACATTAGACGTGTTTTTAAAGCATTAAATTACTTTCGACGAACATGAGCCGAGAGCTTTCCGAAGGCATAACCCGAGGTTACGTAACCCGATCGGGAAAATGTTTGTAAATGCGTCAGCGGTGTTCTGATACGGTCCGCGGTTCAAATGTTACTAAAAATAGTAACTTAATGAGGTATTTGGATACCTTGGAGGGTATCCAGCCAATCACAGCACGTGTATCTATGACGTCGGATACCCTCTGATACTGTGGCTGTATTTTGATTGCGCAAGAAATGAAATAACCGTGAACCGCTCGGAAACTTCGTCTCATATTGCTAACAGCCGCATTTCTTCTAACGTAACTGAGTGAGTGATGGCCTTACATAATGTCAGAAGTCGTCCTTGAAATAACACTTTATAAATAGTATATTGGATGCCAATTAGAACAAGACTATTACGAAAAGGATATGTCCGAAGGGGCCGAAGTTATGTTCGGCGAAAGGTATGGCTAGTTTAGTATACATTGTTCGAGAAAATTTAGTAATATAGTGAAATATATGATATTGCTTGACCTCTCAAAGTTCATAAATCGCTATATTGACTAAAACTGTCGTTAGAAATTAGGAGATATTCTTTCAATGAACCGAACGGTAGTATTTTTGTTTTCATAGCATTCGCCTAACCGAAGATATTAATCTGTAAAGTCATATTGCGGCATTGCGAGTATTGCGCGTGCAATATGTTATTAATTTAAATAGGGAGCGGTCGAGAATATTAAATGTACTCAGTCGCGAAAGCCAACTTTTCTATGTCAAAACGCCCCCGGCTACGTTTCATGAAACAGAAACTTGAACACTGATACCAAGAAGAGTTATTGTGTGTTTTTCTGTTACTTTGTGTTTCAAATATGACCTTGTTAAGGCCAATTTTAGGCCAGAATCATGGGCTCAGAACGCAGGAAATGGCATTTCCGGGGTTCAAATTTCAAAAATATGCGAGACCTAGGGATATGATACGGTCACATTTTAAGCTAGATCCGCCCCTGTCACATACTGTATTGCACAGAGAATCCTGGGAAATATCGGAATAAGATAAATCTGTACCCACTGGTTGACCAAACTGGTGACGTCGCCGTAATATTGTTCGATATGAAACATCAACTTCTTCGGCTACAATTTTCCAATTGCCATGGATATTGTGCATTCTAACAAGGGTTTCAGTAGGGATGTCAAATTTAGGTCTGCCCTCGATCCCAGTACGATTAACAGGACAAATATAGCCAAGTTCAGCAGAATAATCTCTATGCAAAGAGCACATCTCCGCATACTGGTCGCATAAGTTCCGTAGAGTACAGTACAATTGGAAAAGTTGCTGTGTAAGCAAGTCATACTGGTTTGCACTGCCGTTATGGGCATTATATTCTAAACAATTATGAACAATTATTCCTACAGCAAATGCACTATCATCTAATCTTCTTTCCATTCCAATGTATTGACATTATCGGTGTGGAGATTTCGTTCGGCTTGATGAACAAGCGAGGGTAACGAATACAAGAAAGCTTCTAGATCATCCGCCATCTTTGGTACATTTAAACTCATTTTACAAACCATTATACAAACTCATACATGCAGTCCTTCTGTTTTTCACAAGGACAACCGCATGATTGTGAGCGTAGGCTCATCTTGTGTCCTCAACCTATTTTTTTTCAACATATTTTTTTTCAACATATATATTTTAATATATTTTTTCAACATATTTTTTTTCAACATATATATTTTATTAGTATAAATTTTGCATATCAAATGAAGCTTTCGCACGTTCTGATTGGCTAGTTCTCTAGTAAATCTGACACATTATTTACTAGCAGACCAGTAAATAATGCTTTTCAAAAAGAATGAATCAGCAAATTTGGTTTCAAAATCGACAAAATTTTGAAAAAAATCGTCCCAGAAAAAGGAAAAAAGCACAAAATGTTGTATTTAAATTGAAAGGTAGGATTTCTTTATTATTTTACTGTGTCAAACATATTCACGAACAATTTAAAACTTATTTAAAACTCGGAAACATTTGCTTCAAACAAATAGCAAAAACTATCCCGACTATTGGGAAAAGCTGCGACATTCTTTTTAAAACAATTTCGTTTTGTATCCTATAAATATCTCAATTTGTATGATACTATTTATTTTGATATATGTCGTGTTTTCGTTGTGCTGTATGGTGTCTTGACGCTGTATTGTACTATTGTGTTTTTGAGACTTGTAAAGTGAAAAGTGAATTAAAACTTTTATATTTCGAACGATATAGTTTTACATTTCATTTTACCAAATTTCTCAGCCATTTCCTGAACAAATTAATGTTAAACAGAAACTATTTTTTAATTCTAAGTCTGGTGAAAAAGTCATTCCATCATTGTGTTTACATTCTAAGCAGAAATCGAGAAAAACAACTTTGTAATAAAGCAATAAAGTCGCACAGGAAGCCATTTTGAAAGCGTGTGAAACACTACAACACTAAAACTGACAGTAACCTTATGCACCAATCAATGTTATGCCCGACCCTAGGGAGGGCGAGAATACACAGGGAATTGACCTGATTTCTCTGCTCCTGGGTCGGGGATTTGATTTTATTTGACATCAAGCAAGCTCCCCAGGGTCGGGCGTTTTGACATTCTTGTTACCAGTCTCCTACCATTTTCACAAGCGCGGACAACATCATGGCGTGTTTCAGAAAATTGCAAGGTATGTGAGTTCATGAATAATAATTGGGCTTTTTAAAATAAAATCTTGTTAACTTTTGCCTTTTTAATATATAATTTAATAGACTTTTGTTCTTTTCCTGTCATTGTAGGTTAAATTCTATTCAGCAGTATACAATTTATACAGGTGTGAAAAATATATTATGGCAGAGTCGACATGTGGGTTTGACTCGAAACTCTGCACTGAATATGCTGAATTATTCAAACGTAACAGGTAAAATTAATTCATTTTTATAGTCTTTTTAATAAATAGAAGAGATTGTAAAATATATTAACCGCGAGGTCTGTTTTTTTATAATATCAACTGGCGTTTTGTAGTATTTGACGTATATTGAAAACCATCTTGAAGTGAATTTATATTTACATAAAATAGTACCTGTATCTGATAAAATGAGTATTTTAAAATGAATATAGTGGGCTATATATGAGCCTTTTTCTGAAGGTTTGTAAGAAAGTGAAAATGTACGAGGGTTTTATCATATTTTTCTTTTAAAACCTATTGTTTTTATTAAAGGTAAATATTTTTTTGTAATTTCTGAAGGGGTTTGCCAAAAAAAATCAGATCTACAGTGCTTCAAAATATTTTACCCTCGTCCGTATGGGTGGGGGTTGGGTAGAGATGGATATAAAATGAAATTGCACTGTGATTATAAAAAAATTGCACTGTGATTACAGAAAATTGCACTGCTGTTTGGGATTAATTGCACTGAAATCAACCAATCACAGTCGAGTAATATTTTTATGTATATTATTATATGTTGAAACAGTCAGAGAAAAAAATCAAGCATTATAGCTTTATTAATAAATTAAAACTTTTTTCTTCCAGGATTCAGGAATCTTTCCTTCCTAATCTTAATTATCAACTTTTAAGAGGAATGGGAATAGATATTGTGGGCGACATAATTGCCATTCTAAAAACAATTGCAGAGGTAAAGTACACACAGCTGGACAATGTTATGTTTCTTCATAGTGCATATCCTAAACATAATAATAAAAACTACTTACATGTATAGCAGCGTAGACAGACACAACATACATAGAAAAGTTAAAAAGTGGTGTATGGTACTACTACGATATTTGAAAGTGAAATGATGGCATTTCAGGGGCAAGTGCTCTCTACCTTGCTCAAAATGTTTCAATATTTTGTCTTTAATCCAGGGATGGATTCAGCATGATCTGGTAGGGGGGTGGTGAGTGCTCTACCAGCTCTGGTGCTGAGTTGTGTCGGTCATGTGTGCCGCCTGCCCATCAACTTGCTTCACTACTGCAAAGTCTTCCTTGACTACTGTATTTGAATTGTAATTGTTGTTCACAGTTCGCTTATCGATCATCATGTTATTACTCAAATTACTGTGTCTCATTTTGTATCTAATAATTTTTTGCTTTAATATCATGAAAAATAGCACTTCCCCCCTGCACCCCCTCTGGCCAGAACTAGGGGGGTGCACATCCCGGAACCCCCACCCCCAGTAAATCCATCCCTGCTTTAATCATCTCCATAGTACATACACAACTGTTTAGCTTTTTTATATATTGCAACACAACACTTGACAGTATCCATGCAACACTCTATTTTTATAGTTTTATGTTTCAATCAAGCTTTTAAGAGCTTCCTCTTGACTTGGACAAAATGACTTGTACAGGAAATTACATAGCCTATGGTGTAGATACCAGCAGAAACACGTTTCGTCTGGGGTCTACACCGTAGGCTAGAAATTACACGGTTCGAGGAGAAGTATTATTTAATGAAAAATCGCACACGTGTTTGGCGAAATATTTATAATACTGCCAGCGCATAGCACGAGCGGTATTATAAATATTTCGTCAAATACGCATGTGATTTTTCATTAATATTTCAAGAACAAGTGTAATTTCCTATTTATAATATCATTTTATAGTCAATTTTACACGAGCAATCATTATATTGTAGCCAGGCGAGTACAGCTACACCGATACACGCCTTTGTCAATTTTGAGAGTAATTTCTGACATTAATTGAAAAACTGTGAATAATCTTTCTTCTTTATCTTTAATATTTAAACATGGACCTTTATTTTGCAATGAGCTCTTTAAGTAGACACACCGAACGCGATTCGACAACGCGACGCGATTTTTTAGTCTTTGGAAGTTAACAAAACAGCCAATGAAAGCAAATTTTAAAAGATATGTAGACCAAATAACTCAAAATGTAATTGCGCTTCTAAATATCTGGAAAATTTAAACTAGGATCAAAGTTATCAGTCAGTGAAAATCGAAAAATCGCGTCGCGGTGTCCACTCGCGTCTGGTGTGTATGGACCATATTAAAAGCTCAGAAAATATAAAGTTGTTGATTTTGAGATTTTGTGTTTGAAGCACGTGGGTTCGTATCCGTGCTGATTAATGTTTAATCAGCACACCTGTGCTGATTAATGTTTAATCGGCACGGTTTTTAACCAATCAGAATCGAGTAAATTGACTAAATGATATTAGCTATATAATACATGTAGAGTTACAAGACTTGATGAAGCTATTCAGATACAGTATACGTAATATGAGAACATTAAAACTGATTTCAACATCAGGACGGTTTACAGTCAAACCGAATGTTCCCTGAATATTGCAACATTTCTATCAATATTGCAAAGTTCATTACCTAATAGACCTTATGCATAATTACATCACAAGTTTTGATGTTTGCGAGGAGTACTGGTCTTAGTAGTCATCGCCCTGGAAAATTAAATAATTCAAAATGCATGGCCACTATTGAAATGATGGCAGTAGATCTCACACACAATATATCACCAAAGGGCAGGCAGATCTCAAAGGACTCTCAGGTGGATGAAACAGCCTCAAATGGATATTGACAAAGAAAGCTGTTGGTATTTGGAGGGGAGTTGAAAATTTCAGAACATTTTGTGGTGAGCTTTAATATTATATACCCAACATTCCAAGTTACGTTAGGAAATTGGTCTAATGTTGTAACTTAATTTCTAAAATATATCTCATTTGTGGCATTACAGTGATTGTTATGATGTTTAGTGCACAGCTGTATTTTTCACAGGCGATATTGGTTAATTTCCTATACTAATTAATATAAGATTAAAAAACAATTTTCATATGCCAATCAGTTTCATTTCCATGTCCTTTAAAAAAAATGGAGATATTTTAAGAAGATGATTACACGCACCGGGCTAAGCTCGACTGACTCGTTTGTTTAGGATCTTAATTTGTCTTTAAAACTCGCATAAAATGAATTTGCAATGAATAATTGGTTTAGACCAGATGCCGCTCCCAATTATTAAAGCAGTTTATTTATGGGCGTTGTCAATTTAGCGAATTCTTATGTTTCCAGAGTGACGATGTATACGAGTCAGACAACAATATAAGAACCATATCAAAGATATATGGACGAAATAAGAACCAAAGTATAACAGAATACCAAAAGGCTGTTAATGATTCTTCCTTTGTTCTGGCAAAGGAAAATCCGGCCCTTTTAGCTGATAGAAAAGAATTAATGAGTAAAGCCCAGGCAAAAGTAAGAGAAACCTCAGGCTTTACAAGTTTGACCTCTGTAACTAAAGACCAGAACAAAGAAGTTCCATCACCAATCATTGTTGATGCCAGTTGTGAGGTTGCAAATGACAAAAATGTGACAAGTGCACAGCCGTTTATTAATTGCGCAAGTCTTCATGTAGACAATGATGCTTCCAGCACCACTTCTGTCCCAGCAGAAATTTTGAAAAATTCCCACAACTTATCAGTGAATGTTGGCTCATCAATAGAATGTGGAAATTCATCTAACTCTGGACAGTCCAGTTATTGTGCTGACCAAAATTTTTTTTAAAATCACTCCTTTTGTGCAAATGACACAATAGGAGGGAAATTAATCGCAACATACAAATTAGAAGAAACCAGGAAGGCATTATCAGACTATGATGTACATTTTGAAGTATCTATATCTCGTTTTGAAGACTGACATTGAAGCAGTATGTTGAAGTTCGATATGTCCAGGTATGATCCAAGTTGCTAGTGTTGTCGAAAAGCAGGGATACTGGAAATTGAAAGACTCATTCTGCTGCTGTATGGGACATAAGCAACCATGTAAGCAACCGTGTGATAGTTCTTCACAAAGTGTGCAGTGCCCTGCTGTAAATAATTACACATCTGCACATGCTAAAAGAAAGTTTCTTCGCATGCCATTGTCCTGCATCACAGTTGAAGTTGGTCCCAAGCAAAGTGTTCATTTTCTAGTAAAGGACGCAAACATTACTTTGATCAAAAGTCTACTTGGTCGTGTGTATAAGAAGTCTGTGTTTGGCACAATCCTAAGCAAAGAACGTGTGAAAGATCTTCTTCAATTGTGCGATGGTGATGCACAAAAAGAATGTTTACGTTTTGGTTTATCTGAAGCAAGTGGTCTCTCCAGTAAAGTGATCAAGAAACAATTTGGTTTTTCGAATGTCATTGAAAGGAAGATCAAGATTAACAATGCTTTACAGAAAGCGGCAGAAATCAGAGAGTGTGTTTATCAACTTGCAACTATCAAGGAACAGGCTGTCCTCATGTCTCTCGGGGTGGAGTTATCGAATTCAGACACAGACATTTCACAAAGCGAGAGTGAATCTGATGCAGAATCTGCAACAGAAAGTGAATTGGGAGATTGCAGGCAGGAATCCAGCCAACTTCTCCAGAAATTTACAAGTGATTGACAAGCAACAAACACTTCAAATCACGATATAGAAGTCAGAAGATCCTCCTCTTTATTATGTAATGACAGCAATCCTCAAACTGGTGTTGAGACCCCTGCGAACTGCCTCCAAATACGCAACATACACCCATGTGTAACATAAAGTTACCATAATTGCTAAAGTGCTGCAGGCTTAATTGGTTTGCGTTTGTTCAGTCACTCAAAGATAAACTTCAGGGCATCTCAGAAGAGGCGGTTGAGAAAGTTATTTTCGACTTTGCCATGCAAATACCATTTCTTGGCTTCAGCAAAAGCGATGAACAGGTCATTGAACAAATCAAACTGAAGATATGATTGTATCAGAATCCGATGATCAAGATAATCCAGAAGAATGGCTGCAAGTTAATGACCCTCTGGGAGGCAAAGAAAGAGAATTGATTTCCAAGAAAATTAAATCTGTTAAAAGGCACACACGAAGGCAAATAGCCAGAAGAATAGCAGAGGAGCGTTTGCTTAGACGAAGAAGAAGTAAGCGAGTTGGTTCAGTCCTAACAAAGTATCCAACTATCGTAAAGGACATAGGGACATTTGTGCATTCTTCTGGTGTGGGTGCTGAAGCGTGGAGGAGAACAGGAGTATTAACGTTCGATGGCAACAGGAAGGTTAAATGCAAAGTTACATTTGCAAGAATAAAAACACATTTAGAAGAGAAGTACAACACCAAGTTCTCGTACGGAACCATTGTTCAACTCTGTGTCGCGAGGAATAAAAGACGAAAGTCCGCTAAAAATTACAAAGGCGTCGCCCAAGTCACGTGCAGGAGCTAGAAATGGTTTCGAGATCAAATGATCATTGGTCCAATGCGTTGCACAAAGGTCTGGATGTGGTTCAATTCAAAGATGGCAGAGACAAGGTACTTCTTAACAGGGATGACCTTTCTGTCTTTCGTCTCGATACTGTAGCAAGCAATAAAGCTCCAACAGTTTGCATTCAAGGGAAGCCAAGTCTTACAACCAAAACGGATTGTCAGGCAAGTTACCCAAATACTTTGCAAACTACGTCCTACAACTTCACAGCATCTGAAAACAATGGAGAGGTTTATGCGGGTGTTGTGAAAAGTAGTGGTATTCATTCAAAGAATCAGGCTCAGCATGCTGCTGATCTGGAACTTTTACAACAGAAAAGCGAGGTTAAAGATGTGTTCATAAATCCTGAAATGCATAATCCCAAAGAAATTGAGTGTATCCGCGTTGATTCTGGTGGAGACGAAGCTCTTTATTATCAAGAGGTGCAGTTTTGGTGGACACTTCACCATATTAGAAGACCCGCAAGACTCCAACTAATAACGTGCCGTTACAGTGGCGGAAGAAGCCTCAACAGAGTTGAGTTACAGAATGGCTGCAAAGTAAAGTCACACAGTGGGTTGTTTATACCTTCAACACTTAATGGATCGAATCTTTGTAAGGAAAGTCGAGATGTTGATAAAGTGAAATTGGAACAAAATTTGGGTGATGCCATTGACATATACATCTCAAGAGTAAGTGGTGCACCATGTGGGAATAAAAAAAATCAAACTTTTTCGTGGTGAAAAATGTCCAAGAAACCAAGAGCTCAGAGACAATGTTAGACTATTCATGAATGGAAATAAGAAGCAGAAAGAGAAGCTGAAGAAAGACAGTCCTGGGGACTACGAACTTATTCAGAATGTTTTGAATGTCAAAGAACGTCATATGCAGAAAAACGTTCCCTTACGTTATGTATTCCAGCTACTGTGTTGCTATAAGAAGGATTGTTTTCATCCTCTGTGCAAGCAGGGCCGTAAACAAGAACAATCATGCTGGTACGAGGGTGGACTGCCATTGTCGTTTGTACCGTTACCTGTTTCAGACAAAAGCAGACCACATGGATGGGAAGATTGTCCTAAGTGTTCTCCTGGAAAGTGTGCTGGGCACTACTTGCAACCCGCTGAAGTAATAGCACTCCATCAAGCTGGTAAATATAACCCACAGAAAGTGCCGCCAAGCAAGTCAATTAAAGACTTTTTCAAAAGCAAGAACGGGAATGGAGCCACAGAAAGTGAGATTGAGAAGATTGCTAAACAAATTATGCTGCCAGTTGAGGAGGTAAATTGTACTCTTACTTAATTGTACTCCACGAAATAGTAACTTAATTTACTCATGCAAATAATTTCAAGTACAAAAGCTTGTGGTGTATTGAGGATATGTAATCATGATTCAGATATAAATTGTAAATATTTTACACTATTATACTTTTGAAGGTTCAGATGTGGTTTGATCATTTGGAAGTTGTACAAGAGCATCGACGAGGGGGGGGGGGGGCAAAAAAGGCAGCAGAGACCCGAAGAAGAAATAAGGAAGCTAAAGAGGCCAAAAATAAGGATCGGAAGGCACCATGAAATGAAAAAAGAAAACAAAATCAAAAAAGAAAACACAAAGCCTCTCTCCAATCACCGCAGTAAGACTTTATTAATGTTTAACAAATAGATAAGATTTTGCCGTCATCTGTTCAGTGTAGATAATGGCTCTCAACCAACGACGAAAGCGCTTTAATTTTTAACGTTATTATATAAATTTGAATGGTTGAGGTTTTCTTACGTTATTTTACTTCATGTGCATTATGTTTCTTAAATTGTAGGAATCCTCTGACTCTGAAGATGAAGTTAGTCAAACTTGTCAAAAGAGAGATCCAGAGGCCGAGTCACAAAATACACAAGACGTTCCTTGGGTCCAATGTGATATTTGTCAGGATTAGCACCACCAGTTCTGTGTTGGTGAAGTTAGCAACAGTGATGCGGTAGAGTGGCATTGTCCGATTTGTTTGCAGTTAGACTTCATATAGTTTCAAAATAGACTTGGTTTATACAGTTAGCTATAGAGATCACAATTTTAAAATAGACTTGTTTACTGTTAGCTATGGAGTTCATATAGTTTCAAAATAGTCTTGTTTAATACAGTTAGGTACTGTATAAAGTTCATACAGTTTTAAAATAGAGTTGTTTACAGTTAGGTATAAAGTTCATATAGTTTTAAAATAGACTTGTTTCCAGTTAGATTATATATTAAATTGTTTGAGCAGATTATAAGGGACCGGTCATTATTTATGGAAGGGGGGGAGGGAAAAAATGAGGGGGGGGCCATATGTATAAATAAATGACTAGAAGGGGGGGCTATTAAATTTTCCAAGAAAATGAGGGGAGGGGGTTGCAATTAAATTTGAAGCACTTTGCTTAATAAGCATGGTATCCATTTGGTTGTAATTGCGACTAAATCATGGTCACTGGTGTGAATTAGTCTGGATTTATCTTGTCTTCTGTGTGCTGTATGCAAATCAGTCTTTACTGATTGCAGAGATAAATTGACAATGTATTATTACATCAGCTATCTTGATGTGGTTAACCCATTGAGTCGCATTGCACCCTGATGCACCCTACTTTAGTATTTTACTCTATCTAACGCCAGACGATTTTACTCGTCAAGGGGAGAGCGTTGGCGCTTAATGGGTTAACTGGGCTATCTGCCCATGTGTCTAGTTAACCCATTGAGTCGCATTGCACCCTGATGCACGCTACTTTAGTATTTTACTCTGTCTAACGCCAGAGTATTTTATTCTGTCTAACGCCAGACGATTTTACTTGTCAAGGGGAGAGCGCTGGCGCTTAATGGGTTAAATACATTTAAGCAAGGTTAACGGCAGGCCACATCCACTGATGGGAGTCTGTGACGTCATATCGATTAAAGGGGGGTTGTTCGCGCCTTGTGATCAGTGCTTCGGTCTGGGTATTCATACTGCCATTGTATGCTTTGCCTAGCTGCAGCAAGTTTAGCGCTTAGATACCTTTCCCCTACCCACCCCACCCACCCATGTTTATTCTAGAGGATTTTATCTGGTAGTAGGTCATTTTATATAATTTTTAATCTCACATAAAATAAGATGTATAGACCACTATACATTATATTTTGTTTCCACTGACTTGTCAGTGTGCCGGAGGTATGCCTTGGCAGAATGTCCAGAATTGTCATGGCTATCTCCTTTTGCTGCTAATATTACTGATTGTTACTCTCATTGCTATGCAGCTGCTATGGCAATACTTTGTGCCATCAAATCTAGTTACAGCCTTGGACCACAAACGGCACCTGCCTCCAAACACTAGTATTAATTCTCTGCCGTTCAACATGGTTACAATCGCAGTTATATATGAAAATACCCCTCTTTTATTTATAATTTCCTGCTACTATATATTTTTGGTCGACGTTAATATCTTGTCTGCTCCATATTCTTATTTAATTAATAATTAACATTATAACGCCTGGGTATCCCCATTTGTCGAGTAAAAATGAAAATGGGGGGGGGGGTCAATGAAAAATATTCTCATATGTAGAGGAGGGGGGGGTCATCATTAAATTTCTGCTCTTTTAAGGGGGGGCTTTCAATTTTAAAAATTTAGGAAAGAAAAAATTCCCCTCCCCCCCTTCCATAAATAATGACCGGTCCCTAACATATTTGTAGTTTTCCTCTAACTCACGGGTGGGGAGCATTTGACTACGATTGACCACAAAGTGCTGCTTCACAGTGGGGACTATTGACACAAAAAAATTGAAAATGTCAAATGCCCCTGGGTTTGCCCGCCCTCCCTAGGGTCGGGCATAACATTGATTGGTGCATTAACCCGATCGAAAACAGTTTTGTTTCTGAATTTTAATTAAAATAATAGTTGGATAACTTGGATACTTTGTTTTATTCATTAGAAATTTATACTAAAACAATTATTCGCCTCAGGCTCAGTGACTACGGTGAATATTCACCTCGACTTCGTCACGGTGAATATTCACCTGTAATCACTGCGCCTTTGGCGAATAATTGTTAAATATATATTTTCAACATATATATTTTTTCAACATATATTTTTCCTACATTCGATGTAATTATTTCATTTGATATGTATTTCTTTAATTGCAACATATATATTTGACTGACAGTGTAACACAATGTATATATATTTTTTTCAACATATATATTTTTATAACGTATATATTCACATTGGAACATAAATATTTTATTTACTACATATTGTCATACATGGCTTGCCATACACTGCAACCTTAATTGATAATATTTTTACCAATGACCTTGAACAGATAGAATCTGGCATAAATGGTTTAATTTTCTCTGACATTTCAGATCATCTTCCAATTTTTCATATATCATCCTTATCAACAAATAAAAATAAATCGAAAACGGTAAAAACACAATACAAAAGAACTATCAACAACAATAGTCTCGCTTCATTTTTAGTATCTGTTAAAAATATATCATGGTCACACACGTTTCAAACAAAAGATCCTTGTGAATCCTATGACATTTTTCATAATAATTGAAAAGCAGCAATTGATAAGAATTTTCCTTTAGTAAAAATGAAAAACAAATCTTTTGATCATGAAAAAAGTTCCTGGATGACAAGTGGTGTTTTCAAGTCCATATCTAAGAAAAATCGTTTATCTAAAACTTTTTTAAAAAAACCATCTCATAAAAGATGAAACAATGTACAAAAAATACAAAAACAAACTGAATCATGTTATTAAAACTGCGAAAAAAAATTATTATGAAAACCAATTTTTAAAGTACAAAAACGATATGAAAATGGCAAACTATTAACAAAGTTCTAAATAGAAATAAAACTAGAGAAAAACTTCCCGACAGACAGAACATGAATTACTGACTGAAATTAATAACTTAAATGAAAATAAAAGCACAGGCCACAATTAAATAAGTGCCAAGATGATAAAAACAATAGGAGAAGAAATTGTTAAACCTCTAACACATATTATTAATTAATTCAACATTTTTAACTGGAAAAATTCCAAATTTTCTAAAAATAGCTCTAGTGACTCCTATTTTCAAAGCAAATGAAAATAACCTATTTGAAAATGACAGACCAATATCGGTTTTGACATGTTTTTCAAAATTACTAGAGAAACTTATGTACAAACGACTATTTAACTATGTAGAAAAACATAACATATCAAATCATCAGTATGGTTTTCTAAGAAATAGATCTACAGAAGACGCCTTACTAAATCTAAACGATAAAATTTCAAAAGCTTTAGACAAAGGTAAATAGTAAAAGTTAAACAGCATAGGTCATCTGAAATGAATGTTACTACAGGAGTCCCACAGGGTTCAATCCTTGGTCCATTATTATTCCTTTTATACATTAATTGACATTGAGAACTGTAGTGATATTATTTCTTTCATTTTATATGCTGATGATACAAATGCTTTCTATTCAAATTCATGCTTGAAAACATTATCTAGTACTATACAAAGTGAACTTGATAAGGTAGTTCAATGGCTCAATGCAGATAAATTATCAATCAATGCATCCACAAAACAAAAATTGTCATTTTTAAGTACAAAAACAAATCACTGGATTCACAGATAACAATAAAAATAAATGATGATATAATTAAACAGGTGCCTTTTGTAAAGTTCTTAGGTGTCAGTGTGTCACAATTGATCAAAAATTGACATGGACCAACCACATCAACTCGGTTTTAAAAAGCATAACTAAATCTACAGGTATGATTGCTAAATTAAGACATTATACAAATAAAAACACTTTGAAATTGATTTACTATGCATTGGTCTATCCATACCTTACATACAGAAATCTAGTTTGGGGTAATACATATCCAACAAGATTACAGAAGTTATTAAAGATACAAAAGAAAATTGTCCGACTAATGTGTTTTAAATCTTATACAGATCATTCAGAACCTTTATTTTTTAATCTTAAAATCTTGAATATCTACAAAATTAATGATCATCTTTGCAGTCTATTATTTATGTATCGCTGCCAGGCGCGGATCCAGACTGATGCAACTGATGCGAGTGCATCAATCAAAATTTTCATACGAACGAGAATTGTCAACATTTTATTAAAATATGTTTAAATATTGGTTGTCTTCGATTTAAAGTCCTTTAAAACAATATTTTTCACAGGAATGAATGTAAACACAGCTATATTTCGCAAAATATTATGAAAAACGTAAATGCATATCAAATTTCGCACTTATCAAGTTGTGGGATTTTGTGTCGTGACTTTATTTCGCCACATATGTCGGTGTTTAATTTGATGCATCCACTATTATTATAGCTCAGTGTATGCATCACTACGTCACATTGGGGCCGGCAGTGCATCACTATGTCACGTTGGGGAGAAAAGTGCATCAGTGGCACATCAGTCCCGAGTCTTTTGGCCGAGTTTTCCCAACAACACGTCACAAAAACCATTGTTTTCATGCCTACGTAATGTTGGGAAATGGGTGCTGACATGCATTTAGCCCGCGATCAAAATAATGCGCTTTTGACTGATGCATTTCACCGGCAATCAGAACAGTCAGTGATAAATTTTATGGTCGAATTGTTATATAATGGCGGGAGTATTAATGGAACATTGTATCTCGCATTGTATGGAAATATTTTACGATCTTTGGTGGTTCACTCAAACTCACTGAGCCTCAAAGCCGTCGAAATTAAAAGGTTTGTCAGCTATTTCAGTAATTTCACAAGGGAATGTTTGGGATCTGTGTACTGTGTTTATAGATGTGGATTTAAACGAGTGAGTCTGTGTGTGACTGTGTGTTGATATTTATAATAGATACTGTAGGTATACGTATATTTGTCGTAGTATAAATATCACAATTTTACAAAATTTATTATATTTGAACTGTTTTAAATATCTCAACATGGAA